GGTAAAAATTAGACCAATAGGAAGACCGTTTAGCAATGTCGTCATAAAGATCACGTGGGACGATAGCATTCGAACTATGGCGGTCGGCAAGCTAAAAAGCTTTATTTGTACACTAATACGCTAATATATTTCATTTATACTCTATATTACTATCCGATTTAAATATTAATGTCAAATAGACTTACTTACTGCGTAAAGTATTGGGAATGGAGTAAGCGTAATTCGGCGACGAAAGTATTCGATATTCCTAACTTTCGACGATTTAGAATATTTTCCCTATCCAAATTATTCGTTTTTCAGGTTTTTTTATTTGCGATAAGATCGAAGGCAAACTTAAAAAGTTTAATTGATATAACAAAGCAATCCCGGTAGACGCCATTTTCGACTACTGGCACGTGGCCTACCTACTGTAGTAGCTTGTTTATATTTACGGCTGGCAGATGGCGCGTTTCAATTGTAGGGTAATTTCCGCATGTGAGTACACGCGACACGGAAAGACGACGGAACGGCAACTGTTTCCGTCGAAGATTTCCGTCGTTCGTTGCCGCATATGAGTACCAGGCTTTACAAGGTTCCGATACTTCTGATCTCTCACTACGCGATCAGGGTATGATCCTCCTTCGGTTTTCTATCGCAAGGTTTCTTACTCCTTGCTCGACCCCTCGGTCAGGACCACACTCGTTTTCGTCCTCTCTCGACGAAATCGCAGCCACTTCTCCTTTCTTTCACCACGCCTCCTCTCCAGGGGGTTATTGCTCCGTTTGTCTTCTTGACATTGTTTCACAGAATCGGTGATGTCACCCGAGGGAATAGGGATTAAGGGAGAAAGTTCTAGAACAGTTAAGACAAAAGAACAGAGGAGATACTAAGCCTAACTAAAATTAAAAATATATATAAAACTATGGCCGACGGCCACACACCATTCACGTGCGATGTGTAGTTTTGGCGAAAAAGTGAAATATAGGGACATACATGTCCATTTATATATATATAGATAATTAGATATTTTATTCGTTATATCGTACAATAATTAAACAAATAACATTATAATAGTCACTAGTCTATTCAATGCAGTACGAATTTGGCGTTAGTCTCTACCCTCGGCATCGGTATTTTGTAGTGAAGGGGGCGATACTACGTAACGGTTTTACTGAAGGGGGCGACGATTCGTCAGAGGTTGAGAAACACTGCCATAGAGTATGGAGATAAATAAACACATTGAAACCAAAATCCAGGAAAAGGAATTCATAAAAAAAAAAATGGACTAACAAATAGAAGCACATGCAAAGGAAACGAAACAAACTATTTACGCAAGCTTTTTTTTATCTTAAATAATATGCACAATCGTAAAAATTGCCATTACAGGTTTAAGAACCAAATCCTTATATTTTATTTAACCACTTGATCGATTTCTATCAAAATTATACAGATCATC